AATATTTATTTATTTTTATTTATTACATTTATTTATTGTGTGTGTGTGTGGCCAGCTCAGCCCACCAGGGGGCAGGGCTGGCTGGCATGTGGTGCTGGGGATCGAACCCCGGTCCCTGTGCTTTGCCAAGCTTGTTTCAAGTAGGTGCTTTAGACCACTGAGCCATCTCTCCAGCCTCAAATAAAATTTTTTTTAAAACCTTAAAAAAATAAACACATAACTTCTGAAATAACAAATATGCCTGGATGCATTTGAAGTCATTCTGTTATCAGCATTCTCTCTCTCTCTCTCTCTCTCTCTCTCTCTCTCTCTCTCTCTCTCAATTTCTTTCTTCCTTTCTTTTTTCCAAGACCAGTGATTGAACCCAGGGTCTTCATACTGGGCTATATTCCTTTGATTTTTTAAGACAGGATCTTGCTAAATTGTCAGTTGTCCAGGCTGGATTTGCAATCCTCCTGCCTCAGCCTCCCAGAGTGCTGGGATTATAGGCTTGGGTCACCACACCTGGCTTTTCACCCACATTTTGAAAAATAAACTAAAGCCCTCAAGTGTAATCCAGGCTCTCTCACCAGTCTTCCTCGAAATTTTTCCCAGGACCCACTATATCCACTGGCCTTCTGTGATCCTCAGCTAGTGTCCCTTGCTCTGGGTGGTGCTTGCAGAGGCTTCACTAGGGGCCAGGGAGATGGCTCAGTGGAATAAGCACTTTAAGCACTTGCCTGGCAAGTGCAAGGGCCTGAGTTCAATCCCTGGTTCCGCAAAAAAAAAAAAAAAAAAATTCACTGGCCCTTGGAGTATTCAGAGCTGCTTTGTCATTTCATCTGGCTTTGTTTGAATGGTACCAGGGATCGAACTCAGGACCTTGCATTTGCCAGGCAAGCACTTATTCCACTGAGCTATCTCCCCAGCCCCTAGTTTTGTTTTTTGAGGCAGAGTCTCCCTACGTGGTTCAGGCAGGCCTTGAACTCACAGTGATCTTCCTTCTTCAGCCTCCCAAGTGCTGAGATTATAGACTTGGGCCACCGTGCCTGGTTCTTATGTGTCCTTTAATCTCTGGGCCCAAATGGTCTTTTGGGGGTGGGGGCAGCAGATTTAGATGTGGGCAAGCAACAAGAATACTCACCTTCATGTCTGGGTGTGGTGGTGCACACCTACAGTGAGAGAGGAGACGGAGGGGTGGAAGGAGGGAGGGGCTGGTGGAATAACTCAGTGTGAAAGCCCTGGGTTCGATCCCCAGGATTGCTAATAACAACAAATTGCTAATAATAACAATAATTATTATTTCCTTTTGAACAGAGATTATTTTATTTATTTATTAAATTTATTTATTTATGTGTGTGTATGCCAGCTCAGCCCACCAGAGGGCGGAGTTGGCTGGCATGTGGTGCTGGGGGATCGAACTGCTGTCCCTGTGCTTTGCTAAGCTTGTTCTAAGTAGGTGCTTTAAGACCACTGAGCCATCTCACCAGCCCCTGAACAGAGATTTTCATCCTATAAATAGCTACTTTTTTTCACCTGAATGTACTGTATTGTATCCTTCTCTTGTTGTTGAATTGGGTTTTTTTGAGATAGGGTCTGACTCTCTAGGTCAGGCTGGCCTGGAACTCACTGTGCAGTCCAGGTTGGCCTTGAACTTGCAGGGATCGTCCTGCCTCAGCCTTCCCAGTGCTGGGATTACAGGTGTGCCCCCCTATGGCTGGCATTTGAATTTCTTTTAAAATGGTAAAATATAAACCTTTATGGAATGGGGAAAACTGAGATACTGACTAAATAACATTATTACTGTTTTTGATGGTTCCTTGTGGTCTTTTGAAATATGTGTGTGGCTCCATCGCTGCACATGTGCTCGGAGCCTGGGACTTCGTGTTGTCCTATATGTGAGCTTGTAACATGGGAAGAGGGCAATGACTGTGAAGTTGAGGGATAGGACTCATTTAACCCATTGCTCAGATGGGAAAACTGTGGCCCAAGACGGTACTGTCACTGGCTAAATCACACGCATTGAGCCAGGTCACTCCACCTGCATCTGCTGCTTCTGGGTTGGGACCCGGAGTCAGGAGACTGAGGGCACAGGTGCACACATCCACACCCTCAAATGGGAGAGACTCCCGTATTTAAAAAAAAAAAAAAATCTAATTCATTGTTGTTTCTTTCCTTAAAAAAAAAAGATAAAGCTCAGCAACCAAGAATTTTTGGTAATCTCATCTCAGAGAAAACTCCACGAACTATGCGCACTTTGCCAACTTTGATTTTTTTTCTGCACAAATCCTAAGGTATCATTTGTCTATTTTCCAAAAATAGAATTGCTTTTTTAAACACCATTTGGTGACCTTTCTCCCCCACTAACCAGTATATCTTGGACATCTTTCCAAGGACAGATCTTCTAAAAATGTATTTTAACAAAACAGAGAAGGTTTTGTTTTGGGGTTGTCTTTTTTTTTTTTTTTTTTTTCGGAATTGGGGATTGAACTCAGTCCCTTCCTTGGGCTTGCCAGGGAAGCACTCATTCTACTGAGCTATCTCCCCGGCCCCGTTTGTCTGTTTTCTGAGACAGGATCTGGACATGTACGTAGTTGAGGCTGAGCTTAAACTCACTGTAGAGCCCAGGGTGGCCTTGGAGTTATGGTGATCTGCCTGCCTCGACCTCTTGAATGCTAGGATGGCCACCATGCCCAGCTAGGAAAGAAGAAAAGATTTTAGATGAGTACAACAATGCAGTTGGCTACGGTAGGTAACAGTATCATGACAGGCGAAAGGCATTCTTCATTTGTTACACATAAAGAAATGCTATTTGCCAGAGGAAGAAACAGCTCTTGGGTCCTAGGGGCATGATTGCCCTGGAAGGACAGAAAGCTTTGGGGTTAGGGAGTGGAGGCTGTTCCTGGTGGTGCAGCCAGCTAGTGAGAGGAAAAAGGAGAAGAGGGAGAGGAGGGGGGAAGGTTGGGGGGAGGGAGAGGAGGGGAAGGGAAGGGAAGGGAGAAGAGGGGAGGGAAAAGGAGGGGAGAAAGAAGAGGGGAGGGAGGAGAGGGGAAGGGAGAGAAAGAGAGGGGAGAGGTAGGGGAAGGGAGAGGAGGGGGAGGGAAAAGAGGGGAGAAAGAAGAGGAGAGGGAGGAGAGGGGAAGGGAGAGAGAGAGGGGAGAGGTAGGGGAAGGGAGAGGAGGGGGAGAGAAGAGAAATGGAGGGAAGGGGAGGGAAGAGGAGGAAAGCAGAAGGGAGGGGAGAGGAAGAGAGGACAGGGGAAGGGGGGTGAAGGAGGGGAGGGGAGGGGGGCTCATGGAGTTAGAGCAGGCCTGGAGGGAGCAGGAGCTCCTTCCCCACGGGGTCCTGCTTATCCTTTTGCATCACTATTTTTATCCTTGTTCCTGTGTTGTGGGTCCTGGTCAAGGGTTTCCAATTAGCCTCACCCTGGTGGCTTCTGGTGGGCCACCAGAGTCAGAGGCAGGTGACAGGGAAGGAAGATGCAGGTTTATGGTTTCCTCTGAGTCTGGGGTCCCAGCAGGTTTCCAGGCTGGTGTCCACGCTCTCTTCTCTCCACTCTGCTTCCCGGGAACCAAGGGGTCTCCTGCCAGCACAGGGCTGCCCTGTTCCTTGTGTCTCAGATAGGCCTACACCCCAGGCCAGTGCTGCTCTTTGCTTCTTCTAGAAACTAGGACTTTATCCTGGGGCTGGCCCAAAGGGGCCCCACAAGAGGATTCAGGAGTACCCGGCAGCCCCTCAGCTGCCCACCACCTCTTCCCCCAACAGACCTCCCTGCCTCAGTCTGGTCATTTCCCAAGTGAGGTCTGGGTCACATTAACCCTCTGGCCAGGGGATACAGGTGTGGGCCTCTGGGGTCCCTGTGGGCACTCCCCATGGCTGCTGTGACAGCATATGGCACTGGGCATTAGAAGAGCTGGGTTCAAGTTTTACCCCAGCTCTGACACCCTGGAGTGCTGACACCCCAGCCAATGGAGTCACCTGAACTCAAAGCAGCCCAGCTTCACTCCCACCCACAGCTCTCTCGGCCCAAGTGGACCCACCCCATGGGACACTAACCGAGGCTCCTCAGGGACTTTATCAGAGTAGGGAGACTGGAACTCAAGCAGGGGGTTAAAAAAAAAACTGAGCCAGCACACACCTGTAAGCCTTGCGCTCTGGAAGGCTGAGGTCGGAGGACTGGCAGTTTGAAACCATCCCAGGCAGTTTAGCAAGGGTCTGTCTCAAAATTAAAAAAATTTTAAAAGGCTGAAGACAGCTCAGTGCAAAGACCTTGGATTCAATCCCCAGTGACATTAAAATCAATCAATTAATCAATCAATCATTCAGGGGCTGTGGATACAGTTCAGCAGCACAGCTTCTGCCTGTGAGTTCAATTCCTGATTTAAAAAAAAAAAAAATCAAATTGTGTGAGAGATTCTGTAGCTACATTGTCCCTCCTACCCCAGCTCCCAGTCATCTGCAGTCCCCTTCTCAGATGGCTACCCTGGCCAGAGACGCCCGGGCACAAGTCCGCATAGAGGCATCCGCTTGTCCTCATGTGTTACTGTTTTGCAAGGAGCTCCCCTTCTGCCTGCCGGCCTGGAGCTGCCGCCTCTCCACATCCAGAGCAAATGGCCCGTCCCTGCCTGCAGGCGACACCAGGTAGCTCCAGCTTCCGGTGTTGGGGTCCGACAAACGTTATTGCGCAGAAGTGTGCGACTGTCCACAAGCTAGAGTCCTAGAGGCGGCGTTGCTGGGTCCAAAAGGTCCATGCGGTTTGAGGGTGGAGCTGTTACCACCTTGGCGCGGAAAGCGGTGCGGGTGACCCCTGACAAGCGGGAGCACCGGGCTCCGCGCGCCCCCCAGTGGCCCCTGTTAGTTTTTGCACCTCCCTGAGCCACCCCTCAGCTGCCTTCTCCGCCTTCCACAGGCTCATCACTCTCCCCAACGGTGTCCTCCAGATCCTGAACGTCCGGGACAGCGACGCAGGCTCCTACCGCTGCGTGGCCACCAACTCAGCACGACAGCGCTTCAGCCGCGAGGCGCCACTCAGCGTGGCCCGCAGAGGTAGGGAGCTGCAGGGTGAGGGACCTGGCGGATTTGAGAGCAGCTGCCTGTGAGCTGGGGGCCTCAAGAGGCCCTTCGGGTGGGTGCCGGGGCAGGGGTCCCACTGGACAGGGAAGCAGTGATGCCCAGCGGGCACTGCCTCCCACCCAGCCAGCTGGGGACAGGCCTGGAGCTGGACCCAGACTGAATCCCGCTCAGGGCTCGTCCTTCCTGCGGAGTCCCCGTGTCCCCTTGGGACGGGGATTCGTCTGGAGGTGAGGTGTCTCCTCGCAGCCCTTGCCTCTCCCCCTAGCTCTCTTACCCTGGGAGCTCCGAGGCCTTGGGGTGCTGGAGAGTCACCCCACTTGGCTCTCCGCAGGCCACACTCACGTCATTTCTGCCCCTGTGACAGGAGTAGGAAGGGCACACAGACTTTGAAGTCGTGGCCTGGTTTAAATCCCAGTCTGAACGACCCTGGGCTTGTTAGCAGACGTCTTAGAGTGTTCATGGCCACTGAGGGGACAGTGGGCAGTGCCTGGCACTTTGTGGGCGCTCTGCCGACTACAGAGGTGGTGTCAAGACCCCCCATCTGTCTCACTGTCGTCCCACCGCGCCCGCGCGCGCACACACACACACACACACACACGTGCCCAGGGTCTCTGCCTCCACCTGCTGCACAAACCAGATATTACCAGCTTCTGCCCAGGGGCTGCTTCCTCTGAGAACCCCGGATCAGGCAGGGCGGGGCGCTCAGGTGCTGCTGCGGGCATGCGCGCCCTGCCTTTCCCCAGGGAGCATGAGGCTCTTGGGAAGGGATTTGCCTAGGGTCACACAGCAGCAGTGCTGACCCTGTAGTCCTGGGCCTTGGGAGGGGCAGCTGGAGGGAGGCACAACTGTCCAGCCGCTTCCGGGGGCTGTGTGGAGCCCCAGGAAGATGTTCACTGCCTGTCTTCTCTCCAGGGTCCCTGGGGGTCACCGGAGAGCAGGACGTGGTCATCGTGGCAGGACCAGAGAACACCACGGTGGTGTCCGGGCAAAGTGTGGTGATGGAGTGTGTGGCCTCCGCTGACCCCACCCCTATCGTGTCCTGGGCCCGGCGGGGTGAGTGGAGAGGGCTGGGCAGGAGGGGAAAGAAAGGTGTGGCATCTTCCGTGTCCCCAGGTCACTGGCCTTCTGGTGTCACAGGGACTGACTAACATAGCAGGCATGAGGCCGGGTCTGGGGTTTTCTTTCTGTCCCTCTGACCATGTCACAAGTGAGAGCAGGAAGGCGCTCCTGAGCCTGTCAGAGGGCTACAGCCCCTCCCCCACAGTGGGTCTGGGGAGCCACAAAGCTGCCACTTGTTCCACCCAGCGTGCTCTTGCCTTAATGGGCCTGGCAGTGCGCTGGGCACAGGAAACAAGACATGGGTGAGAGACAGAGGTTCACCCATGTTTCTCTCACCCATGCCATGTCCAGGAAGAGAGGGGGAGGGTGTCGGTCAAAGGAGACAAGTCCTGCAGGACGCAGTTCCTGGAGGTGCTGTAAGCTAAGGACAGCACCAGGCCAAAGCTCACCCTGCGTGTAGTCTGACCCTGTCTCCTGCCAGGGCCACCCAGAGGCCCCTGGGGACAGCAGGTGCTGGGATTATTCTTCCCAGTGGGCCAATGAGGAGTCCAGGGTCCAGAGAGCCCACACCCAAGCTTTAGCGCCCCTTCTTTCCACCATGTCAGTTATCCCAGCACTCTGGGAGGCTGAGGCAAGAGGATCCTATGTTTGAACCCAGGGTGGGCAAATTAGCAACTTAGTAAGAACTTGCCATAAAATTTAAAAAAGAAATAAACAATGAAAAGGACCTGGGATGTAGCTCAGTGCAAAGGCTCTAGGTTGAATCCACAGTATTGGGGGGGGGTATATAATTAAAATAGTTTAAATAAAAACAATCCGTGGAATAACTACTTACACCAAGCAGATGGAATACAACAGTGCTAGTATCTTGCACCATGTGAATTGCACTGTATCATGGACTCCTAGAGAGGAGGACCCCCTGGGCCTGCGAGACCCTGGTACTATTACTGCGGTAAGTTTGTGGCGTCACGCAGAGCCCTAGTACCAACATTTCATAAATCCCCACCTGTATCCGGGTCACCCAGGGAGCTTCTTAAAAGTACAGCAGCCCAGACCTGCGCTAGGCCTCCACAGCCTGCAGGGGGCGCTACGTTTGCTCCCGGGATCCACCTGCTCAGGGAAGAGTCTGACACCGTGGTTTTCCAGCAAGTCGACTCAAAGTGCCTCCAGACAAGCCGAGGGGAGCTTCATTCCTGGCCTCTGGGCCCTGCTCCTTATCTAGGAATTAACTTCGGGAATCTGGGAAGGGACATGGGCTTTTCGTGTTTTGTTTTGTTTTCTGGCTGCAAATGCTGTACATAGTCACTGTTTTAGAAGAGTAGGAAAAAATAGAAGCAGAAAAATATGCCACCACTCAGCGATAAAAATAGTTAACATATGCATGTATTTTATTCCAGGGTTTTTTTTCCCCATGCATATGTACACTTCCTCCTGAAGTCGAGAAAGTGTGCGACGTTGACAGTACCAAACTTTATTTCATTTGGCAGGATAGAATAAGCATTTCCCCAACCCTCACAGTTTTCTAAAATAATTTTAATGACTATATAATAGTCCATCGCTTAGATACAGCTATAGCCAGGCATGGTGGCCCACACCTGTAATCCCAGCACTTTGAAAGCTGAGGAGGAGGATCACAAGTTCGAGGCCAACCTGGGCAATTTTGAAAGGAAGGCTATGTGT